TGCTGTTGCTGTGGATGCTGAACCGATGGTTTTGGTGCTGACGAACTGCTGGAAATCAAAAATTTTGAAAAAAATAAAGGGGAAAACAAAATGTATTATACCCTCATTTCAATCTGTACACAAATTCGACGACCAGAGGTGGAATTATGCAAAACTAATGCTCGTGCTTGACTACTGGCATGTGAGAATTTTTTGCTTTCTTGGGCCAGCAAGAGACAAAACAAATAACTAATGTCAACTGCGGGATGGTATTCATGCAGTTTTAAAGTGCCAAAATGAATCCACAAATGAAAATATTAAAAAAAAAATCAAAAATCGAAAAATCTGAAAATTCAGAAAAATTGCTGAAAATCAAAAATTTGAAAACATAAAACCTCGGCTAGATCGATAAATTGAACACCTAAGCCACACAAATGCAACAGGGCTAGAAATTAGCAAAATGGTGACGCTGGCAGTTACACCAACAGCAAAGCTGTGTGATCGGAAGAAATACCATATATACAAATGCACACATACATACACACATACACACACACACACAAACACATACACACACAAACACATACACACACAAACACATACACACACAAACACATACACGCACAAACACATACACACACAAACACATACACACACAAACACATACACGTACAAACACACACACAAACACACACAAACCCACACAAGGACATATAAATACGCACACACATAAATAATACATATCCATTCATAAATGTACCTTACCTATATGTAAACAAAGTACATGCATGCATATTACTTGAAAAAATGATACAAAAACTATCCAGTGAGCCAAAAAACAGCTCAGGAACACTACTTCTAACGCATGCTTGAAACAAAGACTCGTGCTAACAGCGGTAAACGAAAGAAAAAACAAATCTCGGTCCATTTCCTGTTTTCCCGCATTTTTTTTTTTTTGGTAGCAGTGAACGTAATTCAAACCTTGAAGCTGCAGCATTCAGTGCTGTATGATAGATTTGCAAGTGTTGTGCAAGCAGCGCAAGACCACTTGCTCGGGCGAAATATTGAAGCGTTGAGGGTTGCTCCGATAGCGTCACATTCGGTTTCGGCAGTGCTGTTTCGGGTATTCCTGCAACAATACAGCACTTCATAATCTGTGAAATCAGAAAAAGTCGGACGAAGAGGATATGCTTGAACGCCAGTGACGGCATATCCAATAGTTTTTGTTGAAACAGAAAACAGTTCAACCAATCTGACTGCAAGAACCGAATTCATGTTACAAGGCTACATAACTAATACCGTCATTGGCGGATCCGAGGGGACGGGCAGGCGGAAAGTGAGGGGAGCGGGGAGAGGGGGACGACGAGTGTGAGTTATTTGTAGAAAACTCTCTTCGACACCTCTGTCCCCTCCCTCTCCCCCCATTAGGAGCCCC